CACTTTCGGAAAGAAAATCATCAAGGAGACTTCTGAACCGGGTTGTAGTTTCACTGCAACGGAGGTTCACTGGCAGTCTGTTCCTCATGGTTGAGTAGCGAATAACGAAAAAATTCTGGCGTACGTTTGTGTGGGTTCTTGGAATCGCTGGAATATTCTCCTTATTGCGTAGATTTTGGGATGATATCATAGGGTATGAAGGGGGTGGATACCGAAGAGTAGGAAATACCGTTAATAAGCCGGTAGATAAAGACGATATTTAATTTGATACGTCTGATGCAGAGAGGTTCTAAGTTGAGTTGTTGACATCTTTCGTGATAGTCTTTGTTGTCGGAATATCCCAGAACAGCTTTGGTGAACCTTCTTTGAACACCTTCAATTTTAATAAGGTCGTTTTGCCTACAATTACTGTAAACTAAAATACCATATCCAAGAATGGATAAGATACATTTTCTGTATAATAATAATCTCGAATCGATATTATTGAAGTTTATCACTATGAATCCGATGAGCTTCCTAGCTTTGGACACTTCAGATGCAATGTGCTCAGAAAAGTTCAGACTGTTTCTATATCTTAAACCTAAGTCACGAACAGTGTTGAGAGGTTTGAGTGTTTGTTTGTGTTTAGTCAGATTTAAGTTAAGGCAGCTGCCCATGTGAATAAATCCACTTTTGCCAACATTAAATGGCGAATTCCACGAAACAGTCCGTTCGTATAACTTGTTTATTTCTTCTTGGATTACCTCTGAAGTATAGCTTTTTTGGTGAGAGAAGAGAATGAATAAACTACTTTTAGGTCATCGGCAAAAAGGAAGGGTTTACCATACTGAAAGTGGGAGCACACGTAATTGATAAAAAGGAGAAAGAGTAATGGACCAATCACACTTCCTTGTATAACCTCACTGGTTACATTCACAGGTTTAGAGTAGCAGGATCCAAAGCGAACGGTTCGGCTACGTTCTTCTTAAAAAGATTTGAGCCGAGATAAAAGGGGATTCTGTATGCCAAATGAAGAGAGTTTTAAAAGAAGAAGTTTTTGTGAGACACTGTCGAAAGCCCTACTAAAATCGAGATAAAGAATTATCACTGGTTAACCAACATCTCTTCTGTGGGTAATTTGATAAAAAAATCCAGGTGTGATGGGAAACTTGAGCGTTTAGTCATAAACTCGTGTTGGGAAGGGCTAATCAGACTAGCCGAAAGTTAAAATGATAAAAGCTGTTTGTGGATGATTTTTTCCATGGTTCTCGAGAGCACGGATGTTAAATTAATTGACCTATATTTAACAATATCACTACGTGATCCGGTTTTAAATCTAGGGGTGATAAGAGATGTTTTCCATACAGATGGATATGTCCCATATTCCATAGATAGGTTGAAAAGTTTCTAACAGAATAGTGAGAATTCTCTACTTCCATATTTCACAAATGATGAAGGGATCCCGTCAGGTTCACCATCATAGAACTTTTTATGGGCAGCTATGGCCCGCTTGATTTTGGAGGGTATAAAACCAATTCTCGATAGGTGTCTGGATGTCAGCGTTGGAAATGTACTGATGGAGCTTTCAGTTCCAGTTTTTTAGCATTGCGATAAGTTCTTGCTGAACTGTTCACAAATAATATTAGGTCGTCAACAATGCTTACGTTAACTATGAAGAATTTAGTCCTGCCAAGGGAAGTTAGGTAGTGCGCAGATATGTTCGTGCGTGCTAGGAGATCAATGCAAGAGAGGCATTCACCAAGACGTCCTACAAATGCATTCAAACCGCCTGCCATGCATATTTCGGAGGGAAGACAGTTAAATATTAGTGGTTATTCGATGATGATGGGTTTTTAGGAGTCGTTGTTTTGTAGCCAAACAATTTTTGCATTTGGGATGCTTTAGCGGAGATGTGTTCAGAAGAGTTTATACTGTGCGGGTAGTGCACACAAGGCCAGTTACTAATTTAAGTTAATGGAATACTTTCTCGTCAGGCGTTAGTTTTACTTTAACAGACGTACTTCCGAAACATAGTCACGTTTCTCCGTGTTGAGTTTTAAATTCCAGCACTTAACTCATTGAGTTCATGCTGGATTATTTAGGTAAAACTATGTACGTCACAAATGTTAGTTTTGAAGATGATGTTTAAGTCGACCTAAAGGCAAGTCTTACCTGTATTGAAGCACTTGCATATGACTAGAACAATAAGGGCGACTAATAGAGGTAGAATTTCGAATTCAGAGGTTAGTAATAGGTCGAAAATACCCGTGTCTAGAGATAAAACTATAAGAAAGCTAAGGACGACATCATATAAGGTACCTCGTAGTAATGTGTACAACATGGACCATTCAGCTTAAACACTAAAACCAAATCTTCAATTAAGTATTCAGGATCAAATTACTACCCAGTTCCCTAACCCTTTTAAGACTAGTGTACAATAAAGAAGTTGGAGAAAAGGACATACCAAACTGCTTGTGGTGCTAACTACTGGTAAGAACAACACAAAAACGATAGACGCATCGCATGATCGTCTGTAGTGGCTGGACTCACTATTGCTGTGGTACTGTTGCGTTTGTGTAGTACTAAGAGTTCACGTTAAGTCATCCCTCTCCACGGTTCTGGTAAGTTTACACACAATGTAGGGAAAATATGCCTGTAGAATTATGGTCTACTATGATATTAGTACTGCTCTAATAATAGACCTAATCCTAAAATTGTAGATTTGTCATGATATAACTGCCTAATCTATAAGATCTTACGTGGAATTCACACCATCGACTACACCAACTCACTGTATCGTAACGATTACCAATACGTGACGGAGAACAAGCTTAGGCTAGAGAATGAACGATATATTTAATACTAATAAAAGATATAAGGTAACGTTTCGCAAGGACCACGCCTGCATGGCCGAGCCATGCCATCCGATCAAATCCAATTGATTCAACTAATTGTTCCCGCCTTTTCCATCGTTAGGTATTTCTCCGTGTTAAATATTGAATATCTATTTCCCGAGTAGTCTCGTGTTTAGCTTTGAGGATTGTATGATTATGGTCCAATGTCACTATGTACTCACAGAACTAACTAAAGACAATCATTAAATCCCATATAATGTAATAGCAGCCACTCCTACTAGTATCTCGAGTTCGCCCACCACAGGCTAAGCCAAACGGGTGACTATACGAGCCATTACCCGAGCTCGTGCGCCAACAAAAATACCGACCACTACTAACATCCCGTACCTGTTAACAATAAGGAGTAGTAAGTGAGTGTTGGGAAGGGAAATAACAAAGTAATACCTCACGAAACGCTGAACGTGGGAGACAAGGACGTTAGACAAGACCCTTTGGTTTTATTCAATGTCCTAATATCCAAGAGTAGCCTATTAGAAAGTAGAACAGACTTCGAGTAAGAGGAGTAGGACAAATCCTGTACGATGCCGAGTAAAGGTATCACTTCAACCAAGATATGTAATCTATATGAGAGCTGTAACGTAGAACGAGGTAGCTGACGTTACAGAGGAAATTTTCCCGACATTCCAGAGACCGTCGGTTAAGCGAACCACCCAAACCCGAGTTAGGAGAGACAAACCGTGGGCCGTAGGAGGTCAGTAAACGTTCGTGAACAAACCTGCATGATGGCTAATGAAGTGTCTGATCCGATGGGTAGCAGTCAGAATTAAGCCCATGAACGCGATATGCAAAGGCCTCTTTGGTTATCTCGTAGCATGGGCACTGACACCACCACAACAGCCAGTGACTCCAGGTTAAGACATCCATTGCACCTTGCGACCGTCAAGTCCCCGTGTCTGATTGATTTGAAATTCAGAGACCGAAATGCAAGTGAGGCTCCTCAGGCTCAGAACAACTCAAAAGACAACCTATCTAATCACATCTGACGTTGTGAAAGTCAACTCAGATCGATAGGGCAACAGCTAAAAATCCAATAAAACACAGTTTGGTGTCGGTTGGCTTTGATCAGCAAGCAAAAGAATAAATCACAGAGACTGTGGTTCTGTTTTTGGGACACACCATTCAGGCTAAAGCCTACAGAGGCCAGTTTGCACAGAACTGGCCAACACTGTTCAGACGACAATCTCCCTAAAGACCGGGAAACAGATGCTGCCTTAGGCGAACACCAGGTGGTGATGCAAATCGTCAGGTCCCTCTATGGCAGCGTGGGAGGACTAACATGTAAGCCACCAGCAATCATAAAAATAGGCTTTCACTTAGATCCGAAGATCATAATCCTGACTGAAACATAGCTATCGCATGACATCATGGATGAAGAAGTGAGCTTGCATGTCATGACGATTTTCAGATGCAACATTACGCAAAACAGGCGGATCCGCGATATACATTGACAAACACCTTAACGCCGCTATAGTGAGCGGTAATGAATAAGCTGAGGTGACAAAATCATCCTCGTGTTCCTTCAATGTGAACGGCACAAAGCATTTGCTTGACAGGATATACCGCCCGTTCTCTTAGGTTCTAAATCCCAAAAGAATGATATACTGCAGGTGATACCATATCTGGGATTCGACCAAATACTGCTAGCTGGATATTTCAAGTGGGGGCAATCAAGTGTGTTTGAACACAAAATTACAGAACATCCTAGTAAAATCTGAGATCCATACAGTAAATACTTCATTTGCAAAATATCAATCAATCATCTCAGACTTCACTGTTCCTTCATTTCCACAGCAATCGTTCTCTTTTCTTCTATCCTCTTAACTTTCTGCTACCAGATATTTCAATCATATCTATCAATATCAGTAGCACACACCACGAAACTACAAGATGTGCAAATTCATAAATAACTACCAAACTGACTAGAATTAGTGCACCCAAGTAGCTAGAAAGCCACCTGTTGGACAATGCCGAATGCCTGGAACCATACTGAAACAAAAATAATCGAGCGAAACTAAATCAATCGGTTTATAAAAGCTCTAGACAAGGTATTGCATAATACATACGTGTTTTACTAAAGCTTTATCAAAATATCCAAAAACATAAGTTATTCTTACGGCTTTTTATTCGTGTATTTACTTTGGTTTTCATTCGTTCGAAAAATAAGTTTCTTTAGTTGTTTGAAATATCAAGGCAGATGTCGAGTATAGCGACTGAATCAAGGTTGACGGTAGCCATTTTTGTAGAGCATGAGTAAACGTATGCTTGCGATAACTGATGGGTCGAGTTCGCGGTCACGTAGACGCAGTAGATCGCCAGAAAAGTCTCCAGGTAGGATTAGGTAATTTTTTCTGGCTTAATGTGTTTCAGATTCAGCTCCTCGAAAACGTAAGAGCAGATGGTCTGCAGTTGAAACAGATCGGATTTTTATACCTGGTATGCCTACTCAGCTGCCCCCAAATCTTACACCGCAACAGGAAAGAGTGTACATCAGTATGTGAAACTTTTTGGCTTATCTCGTTTGTATAGTTCAGCTTCAAATCGAAGATATGTCTAGACGCTTGAAAAGTGGAGATTTGGGTATCCCTAAAAATCCGGAAGACAGGTTAGCTATTTTTAATTTGTATATTTTACAGTTGTGTAGATCTCACTTATTTGTTGAACTGGTTATTGTGCTGTAAAGTTGTTTGAAAGTTTTCTGTGTAGAATAGTCTGGACTAGTTGGTATAGACTTCACGTTAAACTAACACTTATTTAGAATTAATGTATTATGTAGCTGGTCTTATTTACTGTGGATCAGAAAGTAGCTAATGGGTAAGGGTTCACGAAGCTAATATTTTTGTAATTGACCCCAACAGGATCCCGTATGCTAACAAATATTTTCTATTTCAGATCCCCTTCACCGGAACCTATATATAGCAGCGACGGTAAGCGCTTGAACACAAGGGAATATAGGACCCGCAAAAAGCTGGAAGATGATCGTCACGCACTTGTACAACAACTTATGGAAATTAATCCTGAATATAAACCACCCTCTGACTACAAGTACTAGTTCTTTGATAATCATAACTTTGTAGAGCTCCACAGAATAGAATAACGGACAAAGTATTTATCCCCCAAGATAACCACCCGGATATCAACTTCGTTGGGCTCTTGATTGGACCGCGTGGGAATACACTTAAGGCACTGGAAAAAGATGTAAGTAGTTTGCGTTGTTAAGTTTTGTTTCCTGTAAGTCATTTTGTAAGCGTAAAAATACTTGTTAGTGCCAGCTTTGTGTTTTTTCGTTATTTTCTGGTCCGAAAGTTCCAGTGCTGTACGTAACTATTCATTTCCCATCCTGATGATTCTTCATGGCTGTTTTCCATAAACCCAAATTATGCTCACAAGGCTCAATTTAGTTGGTCCATTTCCTACTCCACATGTAAAATCTTTCGGATAGCGTTTAAACAAGTGGAGTAAGTTGCGTGATTTGTCATAATTCGTCCCCATCTGGTGACAGCCTACGGGCTGGCAGTTGAGTTTTCCTAATCGCTTTTCCTCAGTGGGTGTCGTCAATTCTTCACTGCTTATGTAAAAACTTTAGCGTATCATCAAGTTTTTTATGTTAATAGCGCCTACACCAAATGATTTAGAGATAATCATATTACACGGCTAATTCGTCGGACCTCATGGAGAAACAAATAGCGGTCTCCTTACCACATGAGAATTACGAACTTCTGGATGTAAAGTCAGTGTAGTTGTAGAGTAGTATCGACTAAGGTTTAAAAAGCTATTGTGCAGAATTTCCTACTTCGAATTTTCACAATTCTGTTAAATGAGGTAAAATGTTGATTAGATCGAAGTGTTACAAAGCAATGGATTTTGTTTGAGCTCTTAAGGCGTAATGTTACACCAATTTGTTCGGGGTCAGTTTAATAATGATCTTAAATAATGTAACTAACTTATCAAGATGTCTTGCATTCAAGATGTTTATTGTTCTGTATTGTGAAAAATTAGGGATGATCAATATTCATCTGTCTCATTTCCATCCACGTTATCAAATCTTTCAATTCGAGTAAAGTTGTCCAGTGTTGTTTATTTAAAAGTTGAGCATGCTGTTGGGCCTAAAAATGTGCAGTTGTTTTGTTTGGTGCTATTCAAATCTGCTTACAGTACGACATTTGATGAGGTTGTGAGTCTTCATCGACTGGGATGGTTGGGCCACGTATTACGCATGCCCAACCATCAATTTCCACGGTGCACGATGATTAGCGTTGGAGACGGATAGGTGAAAATGAGGGCGGCCAAAGCAAAAAATGGCACCAGTTCATCAAGTCACTAACTTCTAGTCTGAGTCATTTTGGTAGATGCAAGCTACTTGGTTGGGTGACATGGCTCAGTATTAATCACGATGACGTAGGTGCATACACTCTTTGTCTTTTCTTAAACTGTTTGATTAACGTCACTTTATACCTGGGGTGTTTTTTACGATATCGAGAGAATGAAAAGCGAATGTCCGGCGCTTTAATCAGGTTGGCAGACACGGAGTCGGGAAACCCTGATTCCTAACGAATGGTGCACATGGTCTCCAGGATCCTAAGGAAATAAATAGCGTATGAACTAATCGTTGACCACCGGCTACCATCTTACGTTGCTCCACTTCGTTGTGGATCAGACCTTCAGGTCAAAGGCTCTGAGTGTTGTCCCCTAGGAAAGCCACCTACTTCGGCACACGGGCAGTATCCCAGCCCTCATACAAATCAAATGATTTATGTGGCACATATCTATTTGGTGCCTCCTTGTACCAATGTTTGTGTTTAAATAAGTAAGTAAACCTTTATTTCTACGAACAAATTCTCTCTGTATCATATCCTTATATGCAGTCTTTTTGTAATATATTATAACTATTGAAATAATTTTTGTGAATTTGGTGCTAATGAGGTATGGCAACGCGAAGCGATGTATATATGTGCCTGGTCCTACGTTGTAGGTGACTGACCACAAGACTGGGATATAGCACTTGTGTTATACAGTAATGTGATGAGCAAATTCATGCCCTCGAATTTCTATTAAAGGATTTTCAAACAACAGAGCTGACCGAGTAAGTCATATTTATGACTGGAAAATTAAGAAATAAGTGTAGTAATAAATACTCAATAACATAAAAAACCTTAAATGTCTTCGTGTTCAGGTGTAATACGAAGTTAGAAGCTATAAATCCTTGCAGTTTTTCTATAATGTACAAGCAAAGTATCATTTTTATGTATCGCTTATAATCCTAAAAGTTTCATCTTTTATAGCACTCTAAAGTTATCTTTAGTGTTTCCTCACTTTTCTTAACTTCAGACGGGCGCAAAAGTAATAATTCGCGGAAAGGGCTCTGTTAAAGAAGGCAAGGTTGGAAGGAGAGACGGACTTCCTTTACCTGGTGAAGACGAGCCTCTACACGCTTTCATCTCAGCACCTTCAGCCGAATGTGTAGACAAAGCAGTTAAAAAAATTAATGAGATAATAAGACAAGGAATTGAGATACCAGAGAGCCAAAACGATCTTCGAAGAGCCCAGTTGCGCGAGCTTGCTTTACTTAATGGGACATTGCGTGAGCACGAAGGTTTGATGAAACTACGTGCAATGGCCGAAGCCCAGTCAATTGCTACCAACAAAATCCAATGTGGTATATGTGGAGGTAAGTTCGCTTGAGCTGCATTCAATGTCTAACTCTATCATCTACCTAAGTTACATCAGCTAAACTATTACATGGATGAATTTGTAATAGTTTCTTAGTGTGTCGTTTCTAGTTATCGTCTAACATACAGAACATTTCGTCGATAATCTTGGTTATGTTTTAATGATTTAGTATAAGGAAAATGCAGTTTTGTAAGGTTTGTGGAAAGTTATCTACGTGATTAACACAAATTGCGCCATTGTTTTCACTACAGTTTTTAAATTTGTAACTATGTCGCTTTAATAAGTCGTTTGACCGTATTGCTAAGGTAATAGTGTTTATGCATAAGCTCAAACGTCCATCTACTTTATGTCCTTAAGTTTATTCAAATATCATCTGTGGATCACAAGTAAAAACTTGTTATAGCAGTTCATTTCTTTTCAAAACGTTCGTTTACATGTTTCTTAATAAGTTTTATCAAACTTGATGAGAATATTTTCGAATCGCCTATCAATCCTGTTATCTTAATAGATTTCGGACGGTGTAGGGTAATCATCAGTCATCATCTATTTATAGCACAGTTCCCTATTGGTTTATTAAGTCTTAAGCACATCATAAAGACAACACAGAATCACTACTCCACTTTCTGTGTGGATCTAGGATGCTACCTACCAACATCAGGCTGTCTGCCAATATCTATCAGTGCTCATTTTTCTTATAAAATCTTTGTTTTGGTAATTAGCTGACGTTTATTTTCCATTCTAGGTGCTGGACATCTGTCAACCGACTGCAAAGCACTGTTGGGTGGTCAGGCATATCTTGATCAGCTTAATGCCAACCCCGGTGAAAGAGCCAAAATGGATAGCGAATACACTGCATTAATGGCGGAGCTCGGTGTAGGTGGTTCACAAGGTTTGCCTCCCGGTATGGTTTTAGTTCTAAATGGTATATAAAAATAGTTGTTTATGGGTTTGTAGAACCAGGCGAGTACGGGTTCGACCTAATGTTTTGATATGAAATGCAATTAATTAAATTGGGAAAAGATCTGAATAGAAATCGAAGTTCGAAATTAATTCACGATTTCAAGATATAAGTGATTATATCCAAAAGTAGAGATCGATTAAAATAGGAAGCTGAATATTCCCAACTGTCAGCTTTAATACAACATTAAAGTCCTAGTTAGCAAAAAGTCTTTAACCAAGGAGCATATTTGATTGGGATTCACTTCATTCCTAAATGCTGTTATAAGGCATCTTAACAACCTGAACCATAATCTTTTGGGGTAAACAAATGTTAGTATTAGTCACTAGTAACTACGATAATTAAAAACTTCATTCTAATGGCTTTTTTTCAATAATAGTCAGGCGAGTAACTCCGAAAAATTGTGTTGGATTTATACATTTATATAAACACTTAAGGTTTTGCTATTCCCTGTGGTCCGGCAACTGTCACGTGACAAAATCACCAATCAGAAGCTCGACTTCTCTGACCCCGCCTCTGCTAAACTAGTGATATGTCAAAACAGCACAAACAGCCTTGAGTCAACTCTGAGCCTTATTAGTTCTCTGTGTAGTAGCTCATCGCCTAACCTAACCCGTTCAGTCCAGCATATGAACATTAGCCTCCGCTGTGTGAATCGTTTATTCCAGACATACGTGGTTTATATACAAGCAGATGGAACCGCATCACTATAAAATTAAAAATAACAGTTATACAAGACCGAGCCCAAAATGGATGTGAGTATGGGATACTGTAATTAATAAATTGGGAATAATTTAAAAATGGTAAGTCATATAACAGTAACCAATAGGTCAAATGAAAGCTAGTGACAAAAGGAATATATATATATCTAATTATTTAATAATTATCCAACGAGAATATATGTAATGATGGTCCATCAATAATTCCTAGCAGTTACCATTCATTTATTCTTCGTTGACAGGTTTCAGAAAATTTGGTGATTTATTATGCTGAGACTGACATTGGATAAATAGTAAATGTAACTCTAAATATAGAATCTAAGTGGATAGTTGTCGAAGTATTTTGGGCGAATAAGCACATCGTTCTATCAAAGTTAGTTTTTAGAAATAACGTCCCATTGTCCTATTTAGTTAATTTGTTCTCATTTCTAAATCTTAGTTTATTTATCCATCTGTTCGTCAGATTTTGTATCGAAATCTTATCTGCGCTTAGATCACACCCAGGATGTAACTAAAGACCATCAAGAAATAACACTTATCCTCTCCTATCTACCATTTCTTAACAGCTCAAGTGAAAAGTCTGCCAGCAAAGTAAATAAAGTCCAACATCTATATGCTGAAATTGTTTATCAGAATTGTAGATGCTTCAACGGTACATCATAACATTACTGACTTTTAACTGGAGTAATAAAGAATTGTAGAAATAACGTGCGTTCATGTCAAGCATTATTTAGCTTCTATTCTGTGAATTTCGGTACCCTGATCAGAATATATTAACAGTTAACGATTCACAACAGGTAAAGGATGAATGTTATTATTTTTTTAGACCATTGCAGTCCAACTACTAAAAAGAAAGAGGTTGGACAGATTGTTGGAGATTTAATGCTATTGAAAGTCAGGCTAACAGACCGACTGAACAATTTTTGTCCATAAAAGATGGTTTTTAGAGCGATCACATTCATTTGACTGATAGCTATTTTTATTCTTTAGCACTAGATTTTATCACTAGATGAAGTATTAAGAAATATGCCACTCTTCCAGTTATTTGCTATAGAAAATCTCACTCGGAATTTAAAATATAGTGCGACCTCTAGTACTTTTTCTTCAGTTCTTGGATGTGTACCTATATTACCTAAAAATTCACTGAGGAACTATTTGACTACTGTTATTTAATTTTCGTGATTTACCAATATATCACAGTGCTCCTATTGCATCCGTCTTATTATCAGGTCTTAGAGGCTTTAATGCTTTACAACCACAACCTACCCGCCCGACTCGTCAGCCCCCGCCTCCTGGTGTTGCAGCTTTTGATGACGACGACGATGGAGACGCTGGAACAAACTGTACTACTGCTACAACAACTTCAACGGTTTCAACCACGGTTTCTTCTCCCAACCAGTATGCATTTGCTTTGCCACCACCACCCCCTCCTCCCTCTCAGTATGCACCTATGGTGACACCTGTTTCTCCATGGGCGACTCCTGTAGTCGTACCACCTATGCCTGGATATCCGTCAACTGCCGCCTATCCTACTTCCGGAGTCCCCGCAGTTGCAGGAGCCTATTCCGAAGTGCCAGTTGCAACAAATGGTGGTTCCTCATTAAACCATTGGCATCCCTCCGTCCCTGGATCAGCTTCTTGGGGCGATAGCTCATCACAAGTACCAGGTGGTGTACCTGTTCCCGGTAAGTAGTCTCAAATAATTTGAATCTATTTGCAACAGTGTACAGGCTCATCGCAACTAATTGCTTGCATTTCGACGTAGTTGGCAACATGATAGTAGTTTATAAACTTTTTCGAAATTCTTAACTATTGTTCTTGATGTAAATCGATCAAAACTCATCAACTTTCAAGTCACCAATCTACGTAAGACCTTAATGAGGATTATTTCTCTCAATTCTTATGTATTGCATAAAAGAAACGCTTGCGAATGCCACTCAGTGGTTTGGAACTGCTTCATGAATTGGTGTTATAATGTCGACCGTTTCGGTAACAGTATAGATACGTTTCTCAAAATCAGATATAATGTGTAAAGATTAGTCCTGTTTTTACGCCGGGCTGCTAAACCTGTTGTATTTTGGTAAGGGTATTGTTGAGATCTTTCCGCATGTGGCTTTTCGGTCTCTTTGTTTAGTGTGAATTCTGTTGGTGTTTGTTGTAAAGATTTTCTTTTCCTTTTTAGGTACAGCAATGGTTCCTCCCTACTACCTGCCCACACCTACGGATTACTGGGCAGGTTATGCGGGAGGTTACGCAGCTCCTGTACCCAACCCACCCCCTCCTCCACCACCACCTGGAGTCTAGATTCATTAACCGTCACTATTCACTTGCAGCCATAAAACCGAAACAACTCCCTGTACAAATTCAAAGCATAAATGGCTTTATAGCATCACTGATTTATGTTTATAGAAATCAAGCTTGTTTATCATTGTTCTAACAGTTTCTGTGCAAACATATTGATTCTATGAAAATTGTTTATTTTCTCATTATATCTGTTTGATAAGTTTTCCTGTTTCTGACTGGACAATACAATGAAATAATAGTGAATGTTGGTTAGTGTGATGAGTCATTGTTGTTTCACGTTGTTCTCTTGGACAGACTGCATTAAATTGACACATTTCATTCTCTACATTCGTTCAGGCACTTAATTTAAGCTAACTAATTCGTTTTTAGCGGTATTATGTTGTGCTTAAAGACTGCTCTTATAAATCATTTTAGTGAGTTAATATTGCATCAGTTGTCTAGTGTAGTGCTTCGTTATTGTAAGGAGAACTATTCAGCTTATTGTATATTGAGCTGTTGAACATTAAACTTTTGTTTAAGTACCCGTAGGTTGATTTCGTTCATAAATTTCTTCAAAAGGTGTCCACGTAGTTCACATTGATTCATGGTAACTCACATGCTAGGTTATAAAATTTACAAGAAAATAACCACTTTTTCTATTTTAAACTTCCTGCATATTTTATTGCATATATGTATTCTCATAACATCAAAGAGACTAAATAGAAATAATTGAATAAAAGAAATATGAACTGCATTTGTGTTGGTTCTGTTGCTTTTTTAAGTATGCAAAAATAATACTGAAAGTTTGGCGAAATCATCTTGTATTCGCGGTAAATTAACCTGAAATTAATCAGCAAAAAATAATAATATTCATCCGACATAATGGCGTGAAGTGAGCTACATACTACTTTTATTATCTAAAATGCACTCAACTCTCCAGGAGTCTTGAATTATTCGAGCTAGATTTCTTGTATTTGTTTATGATTCTATATTCACAGTAATTGTTCAGTGGATCTGTGTCCTTGCTGCGTGTTTTTTATTTGTTTGAACAGTCACAGTGTCGCTAGCTTTCACACCTATTGAGATTGAATGTCGTTTCTTTTGTGTGTATTTTTGCTCTTTGATTTCTGGCATTAGTTTTCAGGTTCACTTCTCATTAGATCTTATTTCTCCTAAGTTGACGATGAAGTGGTAAACATTGTAAAGTAATAGTTTGATTTGTTTTTACGCGCAAGTGCTTAAATTTATTAGCTTTATGTAAACCTCGGATTTCATCACGAAAACAAATGTCATTAGTTGTTATTTTTACTGTCATTTAAATTATCGTAACCATCAGTATTTCCATGGATTTCAAATTAACCAAGCAATCTATTAAGTAATAAAAGGTGTGTGCCGTTTAGAAGCGACTCATGTCTTATTTCTATGAGTTATGAGTGTTTCATGAATTAGGTAAAGAAATATATTCTTGTATTACTTCCTAAACTTAGTGCATGTTGTCTGTAAGTTAGGACGTTCTGCACCATGATCCTTAATAGACTTAACATTTTTGTCACGAATCAACGTTAGCAAGAGAGACCTCAAGAACCAGATTGTAGCTGTATCGTTGTCACTCGGGAAAACGCATTAATATTAAATTATAACCGCGCATGTCAAATAGATCACAAGTGCTTGTTTGGGGATCAGATTTCTAAAAGAAAAAAAACAAATACTATATGGTAGTTTTATCCATATCAAGAAATCTCGTCAGTTACGTTGGTCATACATACACCGAGTAAAAAGTGATTTCACAGCTCCGTAGGTTGTGCGTGTTTTGGAGTTCAAAGGTATGTGATTGGTTAGAACGCGTCTAATGAATACAGGTTTGTGCACCTATTTTTTAATCACTAGTGGTGCTATAGTCAGTGCTCGATTGAAGATGGTTTGCAACAAAGCTAGGGAATTATTGGTTTTCACTCGATTATATAATTGTTATTACCATTAACTTACGTTGACTTTCAAAGAGCATTAAATTCATTTCTGATTTCTTGATTATGGTAGATACTAGAAGTTGAGCTAGAAAGAGAAGGAATTTAATGATGACAGGGTGAATCGATTGTCATTATTGTTAGTTACTGTCAAAACTTTATTGAATGATAAATAAGAATAAATAGCTCAGTAAAATATGGCCGTGTTTTTGGTACCGGGTTTTTGCAAGTTATTTAATTTATTCTTGAAAGTAGTGAGAAGTGATTCGTATAATTGTTAGCTTGTAAAGATATCCATTGGGTTAGAAGAATCGATAGTACATTTCACTTAATAAGTCCGTCCTGTGTATGTGACGACTACACATTTTTAATAAATATCAACGAATCTGTTCTAACTAGTTGACCGCCTAATTATTTATATATAGTTCAATAACTGGATAGATATTTTAGCCTACCTAGCAATGACTAACAATTCAGATTGATTGATGTGGGGGAAACTAATTATTCACCTACTATTTTCGTTTTAATCGGAGTTGACCATGCTTACACAAGGTTTACGATGGTTTGAAAAGATTATATTTATAAGCTACGTCGGTAAAATGCTCAAGCGACTGAAACATGCGGTTGATCGCTCGTGTTCTGTTGAGAAAATTTTAAATTGTTATTTGGTATAACCTAATACACGTGTTTAGGCTGACTTTGCCACAACTCAGGTCATCACAACGAGATAAATCAACAGAAGCTAAAACTGGGTGGAAAGCTAATCGTTATTAATGCAGTTCGAAGATGCATTTGGACGGTGATCGCTTTGTGCAGCCTACGTAACGTGTCCCACATGAGCAAGTAAATTTATGTATGCACATTGATGTGGCCCGAAGCGGAGGTTTGTCCTTAACACATCCCAGAATGGTAGGTCGGCTGGAGAAAACGATTCCGAGCTTTGTGTAGGATTTTTTTCCGAAGAAACAAGTGTGATGGGGTGGTAGGAAGTATGTAACAACCTCAAGTTCCAGATTTAAATCAACTCGAAAATACGTTTGCGTCATTGTTAGCGTCCATAACGGCACAAGGCCTTTGTCGGTCCTAAAGTTGGTCTTAGTCGGTATTTTTAACAGGCGGGATAACTTTTAGATTACTAAACAAGATATTGTAAGGAGGGATTTATAAAATCCGAAGTTGGTGTTGTATCATAAACTCAAATCAACCGAAGAACCATGGAAGACAGATGTAGTGAGAAGCAGTTTGCTGCATATGGCTTGACCTTATTGCGTGCCTACGCTTATTGACTGACTCAACAATAATGGTAGGCAGTTGGAGGGAATCAACTGGAAATCTTAAACCTAGGTTTTGTGGTGGTTGGCATTCGTCGGGTTAGTATATCTAGCCTTCAGGGAACTGGTGAATCTGAAACTACATCACGCAGTTTCGTAATCTGAAGTGTTGTAACAGCCCTGACCGATTACCCACAGGACTGAGATGTGTTGATTGGTTACTGAATGGTGATCAGCGTCATGTTTGCCTATTCCTAAGAGGTGGTGGGGTTTATCAATCAAGTTTCAGTCTTACCACTAGTGAAGAGTGCCAACTAGAACGAAATGTATGTCCAGTGTTTTCTACCGACCACCTTGAGAAAAAAAGCATCAAAACCTATTGCACCCAATCCTGACAACTTAATATTGAAATATGAACCATCGAGTTCCAGTTCTGTGATCCAAAAGTACTTTGGCTCATTGCTAAACCTAATGTTTCTGAGCTACGTCACTTGGGGTCCTCATTGTAGATCTTTAGGAAGCCTTAAATTATGATTCAAACAGCTGCCCAGTTACTAGTATTAAATGGTTTATCCGGTGTTATCAACTGTTTTGGTGAAAACTCTCCGAACTGTTTGAAATTGATTTGGATTCTATATAATAAATCAGAAAATAAACGTTGAAATTTAACGCTAATTGATATCTTTTCCGAACTGTTCTTAAACCCAACTGTTATGAATTATATTTAAAATGACTATAAATTAGTTATAAAATGTATTAGAAATTCGAGTTAACTTACCATCACGTAAAATATTCAATTCATCTTCTGTGTTATAATGTACATCTTCTGAAGTGTTTCTATTGTTAATTTTGTTGACTTAACATTTGAAAACAATAGGGATAATATAGATGAAATAATTTCAACTGAATTAACTTCATGGTTAATTTATAAGGCTATACAGATCGGTCTCTTTTGTCATAGTCTTTTATATGGGTGTCTCATTATTGTTATTTTGTTGAAAAATTAATGAACTGATTTTTTTTACTTCCTAGTTAATATTCTAGAATAATCTTAGTTAAATATCCATTGAAAACCTGAGAGCACTGAACAGCTGCTTTGTTCCAGTATAGAACTCCTCAGCAGTGTATATCCATGACCATGTCACCACGGATTGGACCCAAGACCTGTCTTAATTTAACGTACCTGTATCTTAGTATGGTGTTTTGAATGTGATTATATTTCCTTATTGAACGGGAGATAGTTGTCATCTGCGATTAATAATGTTCAAGTGTTCTAAGAAAAGTGTTTAACCTAACATACATAATGTTCAACTCAATAGTTCCATTTAACATAGATTGAATGTTTTACATCCCTTTACTATATATATATATATATATATATATATGTCTTAGACACAGGAGTTTCGAGTCTTTTCAAAAACAGTTCATTCACAGTAGAAGGGATTGAACCATTAGTCAAAAATACATCTAATAAATTAGAAAATAATATAGTTCACAGAATGAAATGGATTTATTCTATTTTGTTGCTTCTCATCAGCCTCAAACAGTCTAAAATCTGTAACATACTTTATTTAGTGAAGTTTAAATGGATCTTCTAAAGGAAGCAGAAAGTTATAATGAGAAGAATGTGATACTACTGAAATGAGCCAACTTATTTACAGCATCTATATAAAAGCTTGTTATGTTTAAAAAGTACACAGTCCAGTCAGTTTCATTTTTAGCATATTCCAATTTTCATACATTGTCTAACGTACACTAATACAGTATGATCTTATTCATTATGTATTGCTTGTTCGAATCTTCCCATTGATGTTTAGGATTGAACTTGATCAGTCTCTTATTGGCATGTGTGCATTAATTGCATTAATTCACAAGTATTATAAGCAGAGATGGATGGTGGCTCGCAGTGGAATCCAGTTTGACGCGCGTCTGGTCCTATTTGAGACTTTTTAGCTAGATGCACTTGCATCCCAGAGTTGATGTTCACTCTGGGACTCGAAACCAGTACCGTTCGCTCCAATAGTTCAGTGAGGTGAGTGGCATTTGTCTCGAGTCTCACAGTGAACATCAACTCTGGGATGCAGATATATCTATATGACGAGTCCCAAATAGGACGAAGCGCTCGTCAAATTTGATTCCACTACTAGCTACCATCCATCTTTCCAGTATCATCTAGTTTATGATCACATTAACACGATCAATAGATTTTAAAGAACATACAAGATCAGCCATTACCCGATGAGCAATTTTTACAGTTTGTAAAATAAGTTGATTTCAATCTAATCCTATCAATTAGGTTTGATTGTTTGTTAATAATGTGTTGATATCTGTAATACTTAAATTAAAGTTTATCAACATAAGTTATTCATCACTTGTACAGATTTAACGATACTCTTATAGTACGAATCAATATAATTCATTTTCATAGTTTGTAAGGAAATATAATAATCTGTAGTTTGTTTACTCTACGATATAATGACACCTTGGAAACTCAATTTGAATCAGGGTTTTC